CAAGCTATGAAGCCTAAGACTGATGGACAAAGAAGTGACAAGTGTACATCTATTTTAGAACACTGTCAGGAAGCTGCAGAATCTTCTTTGCTTGTTGGGTGGAGTGGAATAATTATGCCTGACTTAACTCTTATCACTCAGTTATCTGCTAGTAGTCTGCCTGGTAGGACTTCTGTGAAAGCATGATTTAAAAAGACAAAGAACCTTTGCAAGTACTGCACAATTGCATGGGACAAAATGGTGATTCAGGGCACAAAGTTCCCTGATGTCCTAAATGTTTACTTTAATAGGACTAGAAATTATATTGGGTCTCTACACAAGTCTCTGACCACAGCCAGGAGGATGCTGTTAAAGGAGGAGAACAAAACTGAGTTTTCATTCTGTCTTGTCTCCATTGGGTGCTGGGTCCTACCACTCTGAGGATATACAGAACCTTTAATTGCACTGTACTTCTCTACGCTTAATTTTACTCAGCTGATGGCTTTGAATAGAACCCATGTGTTTGCACTGTGGGATCCAAGTAAACGAACCCAATCCAAAAAGCTGCATATATTATATAGAAGAGGGGTAAATGTCTCAAATGCCTGGAAAGACTTTCCAGTTATCCCACAAGCAAAGTAAGTGATGTCAGTAAAATCCCAGAGTGTTTAGACACAGGAGAAGTTGAGTACATATCTAAGCCTTCATACATGGCCTGGGTAGCGAGACTCAAAACTATGAGTAGGGTTTTGCCAATGAATGTTCATTGGAAGTGAGGGTATTGTAGTTGATTTCCAGAGGAAAAGACATTCATATTAACTTCACAATTAATACATTTAAATAGGCTGGTATAGATATGGGTGTGACACTTCAAATGGCTTTGACCATATGTAGTGATTTCACCTTTGTGTTGGATTGACAAATTTGTTGAAAAATAAGGATTTGGACACAACACAGCAGGGCCAGTTTTTAATCTTTGTTTGTTTGTTTGTTTGTTTTTCACAAGAAAGGCAATTTCTCCTTCTGAGCCATGAAGAAAACAGCAGGAAGTTGTCAGACTACCAACAAAGTGACAGGGGTCACTTCCATTCAGCTGCACGTCCCTGTGCCCGTGACTGTGTGTTTTGGGATGCTGTACAGAGGCTGATGAGCTCCAGAGGCAAAAGAAGGGGCTGATGCATGTTATTGGATAGAGGGAGGGTGGAGAGGAGGCAGAAAACAGTACAGCACATCAGGAAGGTCTGCAGTGGTTCTAATTGTCAGGAATTTAGAGGTACAGTTGTACTTGGCATAAATAATTTCAAGATTAAAAACCATTTAGACTCCAGTTACTTACAGAACCTCAATTTGTCCACTGAAATTAACAGTGTGTGTTTAGAATTAACATCTTGTTTGCAACTGTTTCAGGTCTACTTCCTCAGAATCTACTGAGCTAACAGAAATTGTGGGAAATGCATGATCTTCTGAAAAAGGAACATATTTCTGAAATATTATGCAAGGCTGAATTCCTTGCACTTTACTCCAACATGGGGCTGTGGTGTCCCACGCCACCATGACTTTAAGGGGAAGGGAGCACCAAGGGTCAAAATTAATCATTCTGAGAACTCCTTCCATGACCCTGAATCTGAGAAACATCACAAAGAAAGACTGAGTCAAAATTCTAATATATCCCCAGTAACTCCTACATGCTAACAGTACTATGTGGATTTATTGCTCCAAAGTAAGACAGGAAAGGGATTCATTGAGCTAAAGGAACTTCTTTTTTAAAAACTTCAGTTTTGATGAATGTATTTTTAATGGTGTACATTAAAAGACAAACCTAAACAAAGAAGGAGAAGATAAAATACATTCTGTATTAGGCTGTGTTGTTAGGAATAGTCCAAACTTGAAATACGGCTAATGCAATCACTGCTTATGTTTTGTTTATTTTATTATGTTTTGTTTATTTTATTAAGTTTCACAGCACCTACTCTCAAAATATACCAGTGCAAATAGGCACTGCAATCACAAAGATTAAGAAATATGCCAATTACTCTAATAAGTCCTCTGAAATGTCACTGTTTGCCTACTTGAAAGAAAGTAAGGGTGCCAGATTCTTTGCTGCACCCACAAGCTGTAGCAATATCTGCAGAGTAGAAATTCTTGTGGCATTTCCAAGTACAGCAAAATCACTAGATGGAAAAGAAATTGTCTCTTCCATTTCCTTTCTACTGAATATGAAATTGTACTTACGTGGCTATTCATAGGAACAGTGGCTGAAAAACAGAGCTCTGTAGTTCTTTCAAGAGTTATTTCACCTTGGAGAAATAGAGCTTTGCCACCTTCAGCTAAAATCATCTCAGCTAAGGGAAAGACTACCAGCTTTCAGCATTGTAACTTTCCTTTTGCAGAGGATCATCACCTTGGTATCTGAGTTTCTGATACCCCAAAAAACATACTTGAACTGATGGTTCAAAATTAAGATCCAGGAGCGTGCACTGGATCAGCTGAGGTGGACATATATTGTTTATTGACACCAGCATCATAGGGAGAGTGGACTCCTTGGCAGAGAAACAACTGGAGAAGGTAAAACTGTAAAACCCTCCACCCAGTCTTAGCAGGAGACACAGAGCCTCAGATTAAGAGGTGTCATACCAACAGAACAGAGCCTCATTAGTATTCTCTGCCACTTTCCTGGTACAAAAAAATCTCAGCATTCCATTTGGAGTTATGCCTAGATGCCATTGTGCCAAGGGCTCCATAGATGTATAACCCTCACCTTCTCCTCTGTGACAAGTCCTGTCAAAAATCTGCACCGTTGGTCACCACCCACAGGTCACACTGCAAACCTGCCCCATCAGCTGCAGATGTTGAAACCACCTTTGTTGTTTCTAACACCAGCAGGAGCAACTGGGACAGAGCCTTACCTAAGCTGTTTCCTCCACAGCCCTGCAGGATCCGCCTGGCGCGCTTTTTGGCGTCTTCTGGAAAGCTGGGGCTGTCCAACAGGTTTGGGTATGTACACAGGGCCACTACCTGCAGTGCCAAGAAAATGTCAATTGGCCACTTCTCAATGGGTATTTTAAATGGATTATATTATGTTAACTTCCCTTGGAAATGAAGATCATAAATACTGGCGAATTTAAAACATGGTTATTGATGAAGGGTTTGCAGCTGTTTTTTTTAAGGGTTGTGCTCACGGAAGGGAAAAAAATCTTATCAGGTTCCAAGTTAAGCTGATAAAAACAGTTCTAGAATTATTAACTATTTGTATCACAGACAGTGAAGATTCCAGGTGAGCTAAGCATAGTGCAAACACAGTAAAGCACAGTTATTTACTCCTATGTTATCTCCATGCAGCTCTATCCTCCTCTTTGTGTGTTACTAGCCCACTTTTACTGACAAGGAATCAAGACCTTGAATATGGAGCAGAACTGAGAAATACAATCAAATTTTGAAGTCATAGTGGCATGTTCTAATAATCCTTTCCCAAAATAACTTCTAGTTCTTACTGATTTGAATTCATGGGAAATACTTAATTTAGAAAAGAAGTGGTGACACAGAACATAGTAAAAGTAGAAACACAACCCAGCAAAATTAAGTTAATGAAGGAATGTAAGACACAAAAAATTGAGAAGTCTCTCTCGAGATCAGCTTAATTTATTCCAGTCTCTTTCATTTTTATGCTTACATAGTGTAATATAGATAGTCTGTTGTCATCTTGTGGGACAATGAGAATGAATTAATCCATGTGTGCACACAGCCACGGGGAGAAAGGATTTCCCTTTTTATTTAATAACATTGGAATAACATGTAATATATTTGAATAATTTATAAGAAGCTCAGGTCTCCTTAGTTTGCTCCACGGGTCGATTTTATAATCTCGTCACCTGGACCCTCGGTTTGATAAGGCTTCAGTTTGTCCTGGAACTCTCTGAATTTACATTATTATAGACTGATTTTACATGAGGGTGTGAGGGATGCTCTGTAAATGACATAATACTAATTTTAACCTTATTTGTGTTCTAGGAATAATATACAAATATGAATTCTGTTGTAATCTTTCCTGAAAGTTAGCCTACCAGTTAGCTTGCCCAGAGGTAAAATGTGCTAAATGAGACACAGTACAAGTTGAACCCAGCTACGTGCAGATTTCAAAGTATTCTCTCAGATGAAGAAAGGCTTTTGCTTTTTTCTTTAAAAAGAACCACTTCCTTTTTTGAAGAACATTATTGACAATGAATGTGCTGACTGATAACACAGAAGTGGCAGGAAAAAGTATGGGTGGGGAATGATATGGAAATTAAGGAAAGCTACTGTGCTAAAAGAGGACAATCACCAAACAATAGAACTTTGGCTCAGAAATTGGTATTTTAATTCTTTACAAAGGAACTATTTTAAGTGTAATTGCACCTAGGGATCATTTACACTAATACCTATATCAGACAGCTTTAAGGAGTTCTAATAAAAAATTAATAATAGTATTTTATAGTAGTCTTACCTGACGGAGGAAGGTGATTGGTCTCTGTCCCATTGCATGAGCATCTCCAATGTTGGCTTTAATCACTTCAGTAAAAGGTTTTTTGATTCCCTAGAAAGGGATCATTCAGAATGTTTTGTTAGGGCTGAAGTAGAAGATTCTTTTTTTAGTATCTGTCATGTGGCTGTAACTAAACAGTGCCTTATCTCAGAACAGCTACAGTGTTAATGTAAAGATTGATGCACTTCTTATACAATACTGCCAGTAAATCTTAACTGCTTTACAGAAATTTTGTGTTGACTGTGACACATTTTTAATGATAGGCTGGCTTTTATTCTTCTGCTAGCTGCAAGTAAGACACTGACTTGGCTGGAAACTACACATTGAAGTAGAAAAGATTAAAAAAAGGCATTTTGAATTGTCAGTATTAGAGCAACTTCTTTGAGACATCTAAGGGAGGGATGGATCAGTCAAGAAGCTAAAAAGACTTGAGGATATTTGAGAAACCACCAACAAAAGAAACCTCGAGACCTTTAGCTTTTTTAGAGTAAAAACAGTAAAGATACTTAGATACTTAATCTAAGTATTCCTTGTATGATCACCCCACTTTTCCATGCAGAGATGTTTCACAAAATATATCATAGTGAGGCTCTGTATGATAAACAGCACAAGTGCTAAATAATCACCATGAATATTTAAAAGCTTCCTAGTCTCCAAAATCTGAACAGCCAGCTATTTTTCCTGTGAGAAACTGAATACATCATGAGAACACAGGGAAAGAAGTTAATGAATGTTGATTAACAATCACAGCTCTTTAAAAAGCAAAATAAAATAAGGGCATAAAAAAGGCAAGGAACTGACATGATTGAAAAAACCATCAGTGGTTTAAATAAAAAGAGATAAACTGAAAGTAAAGGCCAACATTACAAGACAAATAAATGAGAGAGGCAATAATAAATTTAGAGTTGTTCTAATGTATATTTCAGAGGAAGTGGGGAGGCATCGTAACAGTGACAGAATGGTCATGTGGACTAAGGAACTGCAAAATCAGACTGATTCGTTTTCTGTAGAAAATTAACAACTTCCTCTGGGTATGGGCTCAGAAAGCCTCTTCCTTTTCTATGTATTTACAGTCAATTGCTGGATTTTTGGATATAGAATATGTGGCTGGCAAGCCTTAACTAATTTTTGCTTTTCCACCATGGACTATGGTGTTGGACTTCAATGACAGACCAGAAGCCAGATGTGCAAATAACAATAATACAGGTAGTCAGCAGGGATACAGATTCCCAGATATGCCAACATCTGGAGGTTTAAGGCTGCACAATCCCCAGTACCCCACTGGATGGATCCAGTCCATCCTATATCTCAGAGCCTTTGGGGATTTTTTTTTTCTTTTAAAATCAAATATGTAGTTAGAAATGGAAATGGCACTGGGACCAAACAATTTGGCTTACATGATCCTGATTGAAAAGGGTAAATTTTATACAGCCTTACATTTAGCAGCAATTGAGAAAAAAAGCTCACTTAAAAAATTTGAAAGTGACACACTGAGGCCATCAAGTCATGCTTGTTGATCTAAATGAGCCCCCAAATTAAGAGCAGCATTTCAGCTTTAAATAAAGAATTAGAAATAGGGATACCATATAGACATTACACTTATCTGAAGCTGAAGTTTAGTAATTTATAAGTAATGTAAACAGCTAAAAATGTGTTCTCTTCAAGCTATCTGGGGTCCACTAACAGCACAACAGTGTTTCATTCTAATTACAAATAAGTAAGAAGAGAAATGTGTATGCAGAAGAAGAACAAATTCCATTTGCTTGAAATAAAGAAAAATTCTCAGGTATTTTGGTTGCATTTGGTCCTTACAGCAAATTGAATCACTGAGATTCACTGGATTTGCAAAGTAATACAAATCTGTTAAGGAATATGGATGATACTTTGCCTTAAGTTAGGCAGTCTGAAAACACAGCAACATAAAATAGAAGTACTCTGATTTATCAGATTAAAACCAAAACAAGCAAATTCCCTAATAATAGAAATACCTTACATTAGACTAATTCGATTTTTTTGCTCATTATTACTATTATATTCTGCAATAAAAAATAGCTGCTGCTTTTGTTGGTGAAATGCTGAAAGGTATGTGGCATTTCATAATGTACTTTTGGAGTTTTTATAGTGGTACAAGTTTTAAAATGAAGGTAACAGACCTTTTTGGTGCCTATGTCAGGTATATCATAAATAATGTTGTAGCTTATTAGCATTGATGCCATTTATATCTTTACTAGGGCCAAACTCGGTGTTTTTGCCATCACTGCAAGCACAGAATCACCTACTCCACAAACTCCACACTCCCTTTGCTTCTCAAATGATGGATCTGGAACAAATAGCAAACCATATACAATAGTTCTCTCACCATAAAATCTTGTTACAGAAGCAATGCTGTGTTTTCTGCGTGGTACACAATTCCCACGTGGGCTTAAAGGCCCATGGTTCTCTTGACTAATTTGTATTTCTTGGTCTCAGCTACAAGAGATGTTGTCTTTTTTGTCTTTCAAAAGAGAAATGCTTTTAAATAACTTTAAAAGTTATTTAACTTTTCCTCCTCTGACAATGAGTTAATACCATCAACTCCTCAGAACCGTCTTCATGAGACTTGCTATATCCTCTCCTAGTGAAATCTATACAAAAATTGTAATATCCACTTAGTATTTTTCTATTACTTGATTTCCAGCCTCTCTATGAAAAAAAAAAAAAGTATCAGATTTAGTTTAGAACAAAGAGTTCTAAACAAAACCAAAAAAATCTTAAAAAAAAATCTTAAAAAGTTTTTTAGAACCAAAAGTTTTATCTTCCAGTTTCAAAAAGAAGGAACAGAAAACAACAACAGGCAAGAACAAGTGCTGAATGTTAATGGATCAGAGTCTTAAAGCAGGGATATCAGAAGCTGGCAGCAAGAGAAGTCTTGACAGTGCCTGTGACTCTGCAGATGGGTTCAAGGCAGAATTCTGCTCAGATCCTTCAGAGCAGCATCAGTCACAGCCTACTTGTCTCAAGGTTTCTCCTATGGTGATGGGTATGGGTATCCAAGGGGAGGGTTCTGTCAAATACTTTTTGGAAGGTCTGTGGAAAGATCTGTATGAAAGGAGGAAATGTGAATGTGATGTTGTTAACCTCGATATCAAATTATAGAGCAGCAGGAAAAGGGCTGCAACAGGTGATAGATTTGTTTCACTGCAGAAGGCTAAGCAGTCTTTAACCATGCCAGCAAAACACCTGAGCTGAGACAAGTTATGTCCCTGCAAGCCAAGGAACACGCAGGGCAGCAGGAACTGGGCCACTGGAGCTGTCTTGCTCTCCTCTAGGGATCCCCCACCACACTTTCCTGTGTCTCATCCCGTCCCTCTCCCTGGGTGCAGGCAGGCTTGCGAGGTGTGCTCCAGAGGCAGCCTGGCTGGATGGAAGCAGGCAGAGCTTTGCAGAAGGGAAGCTTGCATAACAGGAGCTCTAATAACAAACTCGTGAGCAGTAAGTTCCAGATTGATTCTCCTGCCTTGTGAAGAGAGTACAAACCACATCAAGGGCACAGCAATGCCCAGCCCTACAAAACAAGCTCTGCTCCAGCCTCCTGCCTCTGGCAGCACCTCACACTGTGCTCACAACGTGATTCAGCCTCAGCTCGGAACGAGGCCAGGCTCCTGCCACTCTTCTGACAGTGTTGGCAAACAGATTCGTGATAGTAGCCCTCTTTTAAAGCTGTAGAAGCCGTCTTTCACTTCCACATGTAAAAGAGAAAATATAAAAACATGTACTGTCTTTAGTAGCCATCTTCTGGATAATGAAAGGGTTTTAATGGAATAAAAGAATCTTCCAGGATTTGGAATATGCTCTTTGGAAGTTACTTCCTTCTGTCTCTCTGCTCTTTTTAGAGGAAATGTATCTTTTAAGAAACCTGATGAAACTTGAAGCAAGCCAGATACAATTATTCTAACAACTGTACCTAAATATCACACAAAGTTGGGAGAAGGGATTTTTATACATGAACTATAATACGTTGGTGCAAAATCAATACAAAGCTTTATGCAGTTAACCAGATTTGGGGAAGTTTCCTCTTCCCCTAGATATCCCCAGAGCCTCAGGAAACCCATCAGAAAAGAACAGTATGGAATGATGAGCTGTCTCTCAAGGAAAGAGTCATGATGAAGAAGTCAGGGAGAATTACTTGGTCAGAAGCAATGTGATGCCAGAACATACACCACCCCAAAGAACTAGCATGAGGGCAATGCCCTGCCAGGACCTGCTTTGTCTCTTAGGAGTTTGAGTGTACCTGCAAAGGAACCATCTGACAATGCTGGCAAACTGCAAAATACCACTGTGCCCAGAAAGAGTAAAGAAGGGTGCAAACTGACCTGACACTGTCTTTGTTAAATCTTCAGCAAATTTCAAAGGAAAACCATCAGTCTGGAGAGAGCATTGTGGATTTGGTAATGGCAATAGGAAAGAATTGAAAAGAGTTCCCTTGAGAAGGCCACAAAAATGTGAGCTGCTTTTAATCCCAGAAGAGAACCTTGGAATTACAGCTATTTCTGAATTTCAGAATGTGCTTGCTCCTGGCTGCTCCCAATTGTTTCATTTTCATTGCCACTGCTTTGTGCCTCCTCTTGATGGCTATCAGGCAGTAACATCACACTATGAAACACTGTACTATTTCCTTGAGACTGCTTTTGCTGTGACTTGCACAAACAAGCTGTACAATCAGAGCTGGCAAACCCAAACATTTCAGCATAGTTGAGATCTATGCTGTAGCAGCCAAGTTGTTTGCTTGCTTTTTTCTCTCCTCCTCTCAAGAGGCCAAGAAAGCACTGCCCAGAGGCCCTTAACTAATAGGGACCTGAAGACCTGAATTAGCATTCCAATCTTTTTATTAAAAAAGCTCACAGCAGAAAAATAAACCTGACCTGCTTACCATGGAGTAAGGCTTTGAGTTTGTATTATGCTTGTGTAATTCAAGCTGACATGAGCTGTTTTGGGGAGGAAGAAGGCAAATTCTGGATTTTGACTGAAAAAGGCAGTGATGACTTGCATGCCCCCTCATATCACATGAGAAAATTGTGGGCTGACCATTAATTGGCAGATCTGATTCAGAGATTACAGAACAGGACTTGTCCTCAAGTTACTTTTGCCTGACACATTGATCAAAGTGGATTTGCATTCAGAATTTTTGCCTATATAGATAAAGCACTAGATTTCATAACAGAATTAAATGACAGAATTAAAATAATGCTCATTAGAAAGTGATTAGACATTAAGACCCTCTTAACTTGAAGAAAAGGTTGGAAAAGGTCTATTTTAGAATAAATTTTGCTAATGTATTCAACCAAAAAATATAAAAAACTGGTTTCTGTGGGTTGTGAGCTTCTGAACACATGATTTTGATAACTCTGCTCTTGAAACCAATTTTCTTTCACCTTTATCTGCAGTAGTTTTTGCCCTCTAAAAAACCATGGGTTTTACTACAGATTCACTTATGTATGCAACATGTACAGACAACTGAGGAACAACAGTTCTGTCTTAATGAGGTCAGATGCTCTTGCCTGGAAGATACTTTCTTCGTGTGCACACAGTCACGTATTCAAAGCAGAAAATTATAGGATGGTAATTTAAGCTTAACATCTTTCATTACTGGGTGTACCAGTCAATCTTGTATCTTTTTCTTGGCATGTTAAATTATATTTCTGCATGTCATTGTCTAAATTGTGTTTTATCTTTCCAAAACTCCCAGAGACACAGTCAACTCACATTTACAATTAAGGCTGGATTCTAAGTCAGATTTTTTCTATTAAGGCTGGATTCTAAGTCAGATTTCTTCTATTCAATTTAAAAGCCTGATGAATTAGTGAGGGGAAAAAAAAAACCTCTACAGTATTTTAACCAAAATACTTTAGCAGAAGTTGCCTGAGATTTCAGCTACCTAAGTGGAAGGACTTTGGTAGTTTTATTGCCTAAATAGCAATGTAGGGAGTGAACAAGTGGCTTGAATAAACATGAAACAGGAGCCTATTTGCAATAGTTATGCAAATGAAAAGCGTGGGCACTGGAGATCAATGTAAAACCCTTTCAATGTAAAGGTAAAAAAAAATAAGGGCTTCAGTGTATAGAAACTGTATAATGCCATTGAAGGCCCATGGCTCCAGGCCCAGAGTTGGGATGTGTTACCTACCTGTGCTATCTGAAGGAACTTCTACATGCTGCCAATATATCCCTGCACACCATCCCTCTCCCCCTTTCCACCCTACAGTTCTCTTTCAGAAGCTCGAAAGTTTGGAAGGACTTTGTGTGCCTTACACTGAGCCAGGCACTGCTTCCAATCTTACCTGAGCTGACTTGTGGATCCTGAAATGCTGTTTAACATGCACATGCTTTGCAAGGAGATGTAAGGCAACTTAACCCAATACAGAACTTCACATTATGTAAAACCCAATTAGGAATTGGGGAAAAAAGGAGAGTATAAATGAAATGTCAGAGTAACAGATATGATGGGATTTTCCATGACAAGGTCAGTTAAAATTAGCATGAATGCAAGGCAACAAATCAGATATGTGTCCTGCCTGGGTTAAGTTTTAAGTCAGTTTTTTATTACTGATTAGGTAAAGAGAAGGGCTCTGCTCAGAGATTGCATTATTCTTGCATTGAATTTGTATTCAGGAGCAATTTTCTAGTCTGAAATGTAATTAAAGTCAATACTTGATACTGTGGCCATCTGTTAGCAAGTCTACACAAAGGGGGTAGAAAAAAGGTCTTACTTGATTGAGTTCTATTTAGAGTGTAATCATTTATTAAAATATGCCTGTGCTCTAGCTTGCTTTAAAAAGTTGCCAGAAACACCAACGAAAATGGTTGGAATCACTTCTTTCTGTCATCTTAGTAAGCCAGAATCAGCAGACTGCTACCAATAGCAAGGAGGAAGAGAAATAGGGTTTTCACTTTTGAAGCATAAGACACTTTCAAAATTATGAAAAAAGGGTTCAGGAAAGTAATTCAATCACTGATTTTGCATGAAGATTTCCATCTTGAAAGACTTAATGTAGATCAAACCCCTGATTTTCCACCTAGATGAATACAGGTCACAAGCCAACAAAACTTGTGAAATCCAGGTACAGCACGCCCCACCTGTATTGGGCAATCAATTTAAATCTTCTTTGATTGAGTATTCTACTTGTCACTTACATTGGCTGAGTCCCAGGAGCATGAGATAAAACTAATACCTCACTTTTATTTATTTTTTTTAAGGAATATCCCTTCAGTTGTACAGTCAGAGACTTCTTGAGCACTTCTTATTTCTGTGTGCACTGTGGAGTTACAGCTCCTGTTGTGATCATTTGCAGTGAATATAGAGAAGCAGCAAGTGCCAGAGAAAATAACAGAGGAGCTGCTCTTTGGGATCTAAGACAGCAGAACAAACCACAAGGAAGATGAAAGCTTACAGTGTGCAAACAGCTTCAAGTGGCTGTTTTACAGTTCCCAGAACAGCTGTATGAGTTACACGGGTATGGAGAGTAACCAAAGGGAATCGAGTTTAAACACGAGAGCCTCTATCACATCTGATTAGACAATGACTGCAGTCAGGGTGCTTTTAGGTTAGAAACAAATTACCTAAAGGCATCTGGGCAGAACAGGATAAATGCAGATTTACTGCCATTGCTTCACCCCTGCCTGTTCTTGTTTCCCCCAGCCACTGCAGTGATTCTAGCTCATAGTGGGGAGCCTGTGCTCTCCTGCCTGTGCAAAGCTCCTTCCCCATCAGATGTAGAAGGGTTGTTATGGAGCAATTCTTGCTCTTAGTGAAGAGGGGCTGTGCATCTAAAGATGCTGTGGGGCATCCCCTGCCTCTGTCTATCACTTCAGTCCCTTCCCTTTTATCCAGCAGTGTTTATTCTGCTGGCAGTGCTTGGCCTAACTCTGTGAGCAAAGATTGAGAGGGATAGAAAAAGCTGCACACCTTAATAAAAAGGAAACAAAGAAGTGCCACTGACGCGTGAGCACACAGAATTAAATTTCAGACACACACGTGCAAAAAATAGACAATTAGATAACCTATAATATTTCACTTATAAGGAACCTAGGTATTACTCAACACTGTATGCTTTAGCAGACAGCTTGACTAAACAAAAGAATGAATAACAGCATTTTAATTGGAAAAGCAAAGAGGAATAAGTAACTTGAGAAATGTGGAAGCAAGTAAAGTATTTCTACTTAAGTTGATTAGTGTTCTCTGCAGATACACTGTCTCAACTTTTGCAGTAATTTTGTCCTCTTTCCCTGCCAGCTGGGAGGTTTGTTTGCTTTACTTGTGTTAAAGCATAGTCACCTCTAGGAATGCTGGTAGCCATTATCAATGGCAAACATTATTTCATAAGACTGGTTCCAGGAAAAAAAAAATTTAAATGGAAAATGCCACATAAATAGGCACAACACAAAATTGACATAAAAATATTTTAATAAAACAATTGACAGTGATTTGCTGTTATATTTTTTCAAAAGTGCACACTAAATTATTCTCTCTGCCAGTGATTCAGCTGGTAACTGGAGTAAGCAGAGCTGGGAGGAGTTCATGAAGGGCCTTTTATATTTGTTTTGTCAAGTAATATCTCCTGCTCTGTGATGTTAACTTGAAAACAAACATACTCATTGAGAACACTGGAAGATTTTATACTCTGGAAAATGAATCCATTACGGAGCCTAGTTGTATAAACACAATGACACCTTTATAAACAAGTTTAAAGGCAAAAATCAAAACGGATGTTCCAAAATTAATCCTCCATCACCACTCTGAAGTTTTAAAGAGAAATTATTAAAAAAAAAGAAAGAAAGCTGTTTGTAACAACTATTGAGTTAGACATAAATAGTTGATGCATATACTACAGTGAACTAAAACCATGCTTCACCATCTAAAACAAGAGGAACCAAGTAACATGAAGACCAGAGAATGAATCTCTTATGGTTATAATTGCTGTAGTACTTTTTTGTTCAAAGAACTTTATATGAACTAATGAAACTGGTCTTGCAGTACCTGTAATAAGATTTAAAATTATAGAGAAACTACTCTGCCAGATGCTTTATTCAAAAAAAAAATAAGTGAGTCCTTGTGATGAGAGGGGAAGCTGTGGTTTGAACATTAGAAGCAAAAAGTCATGTCTGTATTGCTAAGGGGTTTTTTTAAATCTTTTATTCAATACTCAAGGAATAAGAAAGAAATATAAGCACTGACTGATTTGGGTGCTTTATTTAGCATATACTGGCCCAGAGCCTTAGAATCTGCTTTATTATCTGCTCTGCCAGTGAGTACCAACCACCTACAACTTTGGGCAGCGTTACTGTTTGCGCTCTCAAGGTTTGTCCTCAGGCACCTCAACTTCTGCTACTAAAAAGAAGGGAGCACATAATCGGTGATGTCCTTGGCCGAGCAGAGCAGCGTTGGGTGAGGCTGCGGAGCAGTGCCTGGGAGAGCCGGGCCAGCTCACCTGGCAGGAGCCCGGCGCCTCCCTGCCCCGGCCAAGGCGCTATCTCCAAAATCCTCATGAACGGCTGAAACGCTCTATCAGTATGACGAAAGCTGGTCACTCACCCCCTTGTATAACACAAAGGACACGGGATTGCAGCAAAGGGTCAAAGTGGCCGGAGAAATGCAAACACAGCTTTATGGGGGTGTCCCGTATCTGCCTTAGGCAGGCAGTGACAGCAGATAAACAGTAGCCGGCCCGCGGGCTCCTTTGTTCCGTGCTCTGCCGCCTCCCGTGGGAAGGGGACGGGGCCAGGGCCGGGCAGGGGCGGGAGGCGCAGAGCGCGTCCGGCCACGGCCCGGGCCAGCACAGGGATGGGGAAAGGCTGCTGAGCTCCCAGAGTTTTTAACTTGGCAGGAGGCACTGCAGCAGCACTCGGACTGCCTCCCTCTTTCCCGAGGCTTCCACAGGGTCACGTCTCAGCCCCGCGGGGTGTCACGTCCCCGCCGAGCCCCGCGACATCCCAGCCGGGAGCGGCGGCGGGGCAGCGGCCGGGGCAGAGCCGGTGCGGCGGCGGGGAGCGCACCCTGCCCTGCCCTGCCCTGCCCCGCCCCGCTGCCCCTGCCTCACCTTCCGCAGCTCCTTCTCGATCTCCCCGGCTTTCAGAACGATGGGGCCGCGCACCGCGTATTCCACCGCCTTCACTTGCGGGTTCATGGACTCCAGCGTCAGGATCTTCTCCCTGCTCGCCTTCTCGTTGATCTTCACGGCGGAGGCCTTGGCAGCGCTGCTCCAGCGCACCGTCCCCTCCCGCCGGGGACCCCGCGGCTGCCGGCCGGCCGCCAGCGAAGCGGCGCAGCGCAGAGCCATGTCCGTCCTTCCGCCCCGGCTGCCCCCCGGCCCGCGGCCGCACAGCCTTGCCGCGGCTTGCCTGGCAACCAACACAAACCGATGCATGGTCGTTCGGGTCGTTCCCAAAGCCAGATTAAGGATACGAGTGCTGGCGATCGGTGTGTTTTGTAGTCGGAACCGGGCGCTAGTCAGATGCACGCGAACAGGAGGTGCAGTCAGGAGAAATGCCGAGGAGCTGGCTCAGTTACACGTACACGCTGGATCCTCTCATGTCCAGATCCCGCAAACTTAATTGCAATGGATACAACAGATCTTGCAGTGTTGCGATGCCACCACGGGAGCAATAGATCCCACCATTGCATCCAAATAGCGCTGCAGCCCTCTGGCCCCGACAGAAGTGCCCGCGCTAGTGCTCTGGAAGAGTCCCGGGCAAACCCATCCTTCTCGCCGCCGGCGCTGGCCCCGGCCCCGGGGCGTGCTAAGGTGTGATTGCACCAGCCGCGCTGCGGACGCGCTGCCTGGCGGGGGCTGTAGTCCCGGCTGCGCCTGCCCACGGCATCAGGTGATGGGCAGGGAACTACCGCACCCAGAGGCCTCCCCGGGCCGCTCCCGCATTGTCTGCAGGGCGGGGCGCGCTGCCGCTGCTGGAGATGCAGGGAAAGCGGGGTCAGGGCGAGTCTGGGGGATGTTCCTAAGGGAACGGCAAAGCCAAGTGTTCTCGGTGCTAGGGAGCGCTTCGCTGCCGCCCGGAGCCCGCGGTGCAGCCGCCTGCCCCCGCACAGGGTGCTCCCTTTGTCTGGGCTGCTTTTCTGCGCTGGGTGTGAGCAGCGCAGCGTTGCCCACGCTGACCCTGCTCTGTCCGTGGGGAAAAGGCGGCCTGCGCTGGTTTCGCAGCCTGGCGAGGCGCTGGGAATGCGGGGTGCACGGTGGGGGCTCGGTGGGCACTGCCGTGGGTCACCTGTTGCGGGGCTGCGGAGAGCGGCTCTGGAGCCGGGCGGGCAGCGAGGCTGAAGGAGCGCCCGAGCCCCGTCCCTCACCCTGTCACTCTGCCAGGGGAGCATTTGCTCCTGATCCTTGCCTCCCGCAGGAACAAGCGGTCCTCTTTCACAGTTTCCTCATTGTTTCCAGATGATGAAAATGTTTTTATCTCTCGGGTTCAGTTCAGCTTTCATAGCAAATGACTGGAGGTCTGCCATGAAATACAACAGCAGCAGAATTCAGGGGAGAGAGAGGTAAAGCTCTGTCCCTCTTGCTGCCCGTGGGGAGGAGAAGGCCCTTTTTACCCGTCCTGGGTGCCCAGAAGAGCCTCCTTGTTTGTGCTCAGAGAGTGGAATAAGGGATCATTCACACAGGAATATTCCTATGACCTAATGTTACCTCCCTGAGTAGGAGCATGGGCTGTAAATCAGCCTTATTTGTGAATTGTTTTTGTAGAACCTTTTTTACTTTCTCTTTCGCCACTTGTATGGCAAACTAGCTTCCTAATTTTAGATGCCTAAATTACATGGTTTGAGACTTGGGTTCTCTTCTGTTTTGGTGTTTTCCTCAGCTGATGAAGCGCAAGGAAGCTGCTGTTGCTGTATTTGATTTTATTTCATTACATACAATTATATCTTGAGCCTCTTTTCTGTCTTTACTATTTCTTCTTTCTAACAAGTTTCTGCTTGCCAGAGTGTTTAGTTTCACTAGTAATTTGCTCCAGTCCTTATTCTATTTCAAGTGCAATATTTTTCAGCACTTACTTTGTGGTAATTTAAAAATAATTGCTGCTTGAAGATTTCAGTCAATTTATAGTTAACAAAATAACAGAGATGGGATTTTTTTTTGTGCTGAAAGAATATTCTTGAGGTGGTGCAGAAAACTCATTTGTTTTTTGTTTCTAGTCATTGTACTGATTTTACCAAGAGCTTTTTCTTGTTTACTGTTCAGTTTGTGAAGGCCACGTGGAGTGTTTCTGGCCCTGCTTTGTCCTCCCTCCAAAATTCTGCCCACAGAATCACCCAATAGAGTGCTCTGTTAGAAAGTCAAGTTCCAAGAAGTCCATTTTTGTTTACTTGAAGCCGCAGGAACTGTTCCAGGACATTGCATCTGATTTTTTTTCCCATATTTTAAGCCTTTTCAACTTTTGAGATGTCAGGGTTTGGAGCCTGTATGTTTTGACACTGTACTTTTAAAGTTGTCATCAGTCATGTATCTGGAAAGCCGAGTGTTCTCTGAATCTGGCAGTTTGATAATTAACAGTGTCATGATGCCTTTTCTCTAGGTTTGATAAAAAGTAGTTCAGAAGAAAATATTTCAAGCTGTGGTAAAACATGTCAAAGTTGGATTTACCACAAAACCAGATTGGATTTTATAGTAAGCTTTTATCATTACCTGAAATGTTCAAATGACTTTGAATTCTAAAATTTACATTCAGTGGATACAAGTAGACTTCCCAGGTGTCTTAATTCAAGTATTTCATGGTTCCTTAGATATCAAGGTTGAAATGGTACCCAGACTATTAGAGATCAATATTTGGATTGTAATTTGGAAGCACTAATTTTGCTGGGGGAAGAACACAAGCTAACCTTTGCTCTTGGTCCACACGCTGCTGTTCCACCCTCAATCCGCCCCCCAGAAAGAGCTGGCGTAGCAGAAAGTGTCCAGCCAGCACTGCCCCCGTGTCTCTGCTTGATCACCCACAAGTAAAGGTTCAGATCCTCTGACATCTCTGTTCTGCACTGGTGACAATCCACGCAAGCCCTCAGACCTTGCTGGCAAAGCTGCTGGTTAGTGTGTAACACGGGGCAGCCTTGGAATGAGGCGTGACACCTGCAGTGCACTTGGCACAAGCCGAAATGGTTTCAGTAAAACATTGGAATAAATATATGGAAAACTGGAATTCAATAGTAGAAACGCACACAGGAAGTAAATGGGATGACACAAAGCCTTTCCATGGTAAATGCAGTATGAAGCGTTGTTAGAGAAAAGTATCTCTCTCTTTGTACATGGTAAATGTATCTCCAAAGGTTATTTTAATACAGATACCTTCCTGAAAGTAAATAGTGTAGGATGAACTTGCAATGTTGAGGCAAAGTTGTTCCTAAATGAGTGTGCAAATCATATGCACACAAGTGCCAGACAAACCAGACATTGAAGTGCTGCTTACCAAGGTTCTTTGATCTCCATGTTGCATTCAACCTTTAGTCATAAAGAAGGCACGGGCTGCTTTTCTTGAAGTTATAAGACGCTAAAATAATGAATTTCATGTGATGGTGCTGAGCTAGAGATACAGAAGAGCAGCAAATGCATAAATGCATAGAAAGGGAGATGGAGACTTGGAGAATAAGGGTGATAAACAGACTAAGAGCTGCTGTCATGTGTTCCCATTCTGACAGAGCTCCAACAAGCTGCTCTGCCATGAATAGTTGCATGGTTTAAACCCCATGATTACAATAATGACATGTGGTAACTGAGCATTCATTCTGCTGCTGCTGTTCCATTGAAATAAAGACACTGCATAGAAAACTGCTCTCAATAGCTTCAAATGCCAAAGTGTTTTCAATGATATTTAGGAATCATTGAGCACACTAAGTAAATGGAAACCACATTATGAAAACTAGGTTTATTCAAAAAAGAAGAGCATGGTTTTCTGTATTCTATGTTGTACAAGTAAGGAGGATTTTTTTTTTCCTGTGGACTACTGCTCACGGTAGCAGTTCAGAATACAAGGAGCACCTTCAGAGAAATTATTGTTTCTACTGTTCTTCAAACTGAACATAAAACTTTAAGAATTGGTGCAAGGTTCAAGGCAGTCAACTGCAAAAGTTCCAGTTAAGTGACTTTCATACCTTAATGTTTAACAACTCTCATTATCTCATGATAAAGCAAAAAAAAAAAAAAAAAAAAAAAAAAAAAAAAAAAAATCCAACCAGAAAACCAAAAAACCCCAACCAAAAACCAACAATAAAAGCCTAACCTCCTACCCAAAACCCAAACTCAGATGGAATGTGTAATCTATTGAATCCTCTTCATAAGAACCAATTGAAAAGATGCTCTTTGGAAATAATGTAAGCTTGTGGTGAAACTATATTAATTGGTAGGAACTGAACTGTTCTGGAGACCATATGGATTTTTAAAAAGTTTCCCATAAAAAAGGCCTGATATGTGAGAATAAAGTGTTTGAAGCTTTTTTTTAGGGAACAATAGGTGCTATTGCTATTAAATAATTTAAATTACTGATATTTTAAGAAAAGCATATTTTAAAAATCTGAGGCTGTGGCCTTTTTTTCTCAGGCAAGCTTTAATGTGCCCAGCTGAGCCAGAGGCAGGAGCCAGCCTAAGCCTGGGCTTCCTGAAACTAAGAGGCATCAATGCTTAACAAGATTGTGAATTTAAAAATGCTTTTAATTGGGAAACAATATTTAGCTGTACTTGGAGAACAAAGCCAACATTTGTGCCGCTTAAGTGTTGGTCTTGCTCAAATTCAGAGTAATGGGATCTCAATGGACTTGTTAGGCACGACTTTGGTTCCCTGTGAAAGGACTCAGAGGGGACTCAGATTACAGCTGCCCTGAAATCTACTGGTGAGAAGCACAGTAACATTATTAAGTACCACGAATCATTGTTATTATCAAAATTACCGAATCAGAATTATAAAATAGGATTGAAGCTTGTCTGCATAATCAGTGTATTTTTAATGCAATCCTTTCTTCTTGCCAGTTGAATACTATCATATTCCAACTTCAATTCCTTCATGGTAACATTAAAAATATTATCATCTAGCCCTTCCTATTAATTGTAATTTTGCTCTCATGCATCCTAATCTTGTATTTCAGATACAACTTAAGAATTCTCTAGACAGTACTTTGACCGTGGAAAGAATAATACCCCTGCTGACTATAAGAGAACTAATTAGGAAGTTGTTGCTTAACCAGGATGTATTTTATAACCTTTTTGACACAAGGTTGCACAGCACTTTAGGAATTTAATTTCTCCATTTGCTGTGTTTCGTCAACACATTGGGGCTGCCAGGGCCAAGGCTGGCAGCTCTCCCGGGGGACACTGCAGGAGAGTAGGATGCTTCCAAACTGCCTGGAGTGCTGAGCTGAATACAACTCAGGTGGATTGGATGTGTGAATTGTTCCTACTCTGGAGGTTTTGTTTCCTTGTAAAATTATAATTGCCTACCAAAATACTGCCGTTTGCAGGCAGTTGATGTGTCAGGCAGTGGAAACATCTCATCACTCAGCTCAGGTGGAGTCTGTGGTGACAACAGCAAAGAAAAGTCATCAGGCACTTACAGAGCCATGTGTAGCTTTTCATAAAACAGAGAAATTGCATATTTTTCTTATTTTCTATTTTAAATTGGTGTAAAATACATTTTAAATAAGGCTTGGTCCTGCAAAGTGCCTTGACTGTTAAGAGAGAAAACATCTGTACCCTTAAAATGGTCTTTGTTGTTCTCAGTACTGGATTAAATCTCTGAAATGATGTAAAAGAAATAGTCTTGGACTTTCAGAACTCAAAAGTCAAAAAATGTGTTAAAAATTAGAATAACATGAAAAATACGTCTGGTAAATCAGTTTTATAGCTAGGAACTATCTTGTTTGCATTCAGTAAGAAAAACATTTTTGTTTTTATGGAATAGTTGAACAGCTGTGCCTGACTACGTTATTTGCTCTACAAAGAAAAGCAGGATATTGTCTTGTATATTCATTAATTTATTTACTAGGCACTGTTACTATACTCAGCAGAGCCCCCTGCTGTTATAAATCCTCCTCAAATACCTTTCTATGTTTTGCTGTCTGGATCTTATGAATTAAGGAAAAAAAATAAAAATCCAAGTGCAAGCTCAAGGACCTGGTCACATGGATTTGTTCTGGATTCAGGAATGAAATCTGGATGTTGTGCCTACATAGAACACGTCTGCATTTTGGCAGCAGCCACAGTTTATATGGAAAATAAACCTGTCTTGTCTTTGTGTATCTGTGGAGAAACACCTGCACCAATGGACTGGTATAGGCTGGAAAAAATATTCAGGGAGAACAGGGAAACAAATCCACTCTCTGAGTCATAACTTAAATGCTGAGGAGGAAAGGAAAAGGGCAAATGAGGCAGTGTAGTAACTGTGTACACAGCCAGAAACCACAACACACATGGGGAGCCCCAGCGCTGCAAGGACAGAGCAGGACGCTCTCATGGCCTGTGTGGGAGCCAGGCTCAACGCAGACTCGGGGACGAGGAAGAAAAAAAATTAACAGGTTGAACTGGCACAGGAGAGGATATTGCAAACAATGCTTGAATCTTTATTCATCATACCATATTGGTAGTAAGGATGGAGAGGCCTGGCATAACAATCGGGAGGATACTCACTAGGACATAAATGCAGTTTATGTGTCAGAAATTCAGGCCCTACTGAGATAGCTGTTCTGTTGCTCCGGCCTGGTCCTTATAGTGTCTGAGGACAGGTGTCTGTACTGGAGAACATCCCATTTGTGAGCATAACCCCACTCAGAGGCCTGGTCAGACACCCTGCTCTTGGACCACCAAAGGCACCGGTGCGGCCGGTGATGAACATCCCCCTCTGCTGCGGTCCTGTCTTCTCTGAGCTGACACGGAGACCCGACAAGTGGTGATGGGTGCGTCCTGACGGCACGGACATTTCAGTCGGGCTCCCTCATTCCCGCTCCGCATCACCATTCCCAATTCCCTCAGCATTCCCGCTCCCCTCAC